AAGGCCCGGGCTACACTGGGATCCACAACACTCTCTGCTGGCTAATAAAGACTTTCTATTGGCTTCTCTGCTGGATACCCCACAACATGAGCACCCCAGTGGACCTTTTCTGCCCATCCCAGATGCACTCCCAGGATAGTGCCTCTGTTCACGGTCACCATTGTGATCACCTATTGGGACTTCATCAGCTATGAAGAGCCGTCCTCTTAAATCCACAGGTCCCAGAGAGCTTGTTCTGGCTGTGATTCAGGCAAGATGGTCAGTAGAACGGAGGACAACATTAACAACAGGTGGAGATGCTTCCGAGGAAGGACATGGGGAAGGTCCAAAAGCACAGCTGCCGCCTGTGTTGGTGTTGCCACCATTGGCCTAAAGTACTTTGTGTTTTACGTATTTGTTGGTAGAATTTTGGTTTACTTTGCTTTGTGACAGAGTCTCACTACTAGTCCATCCCCGAAAGGTTTTTCTTTTCTTTGTTTTGAAACAAGGTCTCACATGGCCCAGGCTGGCCTCAAACTTGTTATATAGCTGAAGGTGATGCTGAACCTCTGGCCCTTCTGCCTCTACCTTTCTAGTGCATTACCACAGCCAGTTCTCGTGGTGGTGAGTACCAAGCCCAGGGCCTCAGATTACCTAGATAAGCACTCTGTCAATAACCTCCAGTCCCAGCTCCCCCTGAAAATTTCTACACATGGCTGGCTGTTCGTCTTTTCCAGCATGTCAGCTAGCCTCTATCCATTACTTGTTTCCCAAGTGAAAGAAGAGTAGGAATTGCTTGTAGAGAAAAAAAAAAAAGCTTGGACAGGTGTGGTGGTACACACCTCTAATCATAGCAGAGGCAAGCAGATCTCTGAGTTTGAGGTCATGCTGATCTGTATAATGAATTCCAGAACAGCCAGGGCCACATAGTGAGGCCCTGTCTCAAAAATCAAAAATAAAAATAAAAAACAAAATTAAAAGAAATCTCAGCCAGGCTAGGTGGCACATGCCTGTAGCCCACAGCTCTCAGATCTGGCTGAGGCAGGAGGACAGCTGAGTGTTCCAGGTCACTCAGGACAACAGAGTGAAATTCTGTTTCGAAAATAAGTGAATAAATACATAGAAACTTTCTGCTGGAAAAAAAAAAGAAATATCAGTGCTAGCATTCAAAAATGTTAATTAATTATTAATTTTAAGTGTTATGGGCCTGGGGTCACTTAGAGATTCACCAATCTGACCACAAATAAATTTCAACAAAAAAAGAGGCTTTATTAAATACTGGCCAGGACTGTGGATACTGGCCAGGTCCATATCTGAGACTCACGCTCTGAGTATGGGCCAAATGACATTAGTCAGGGCCTTAAAAAGCCAAAACCCACAAGGCTACAAACTTCCTGCTTTCGTTCAGTCAGGAGCAAGCATACACCCTGCCTACGTACTTCCTGCATATCCTGTGCTTGGGGCAACCAAGCTTGTTTACAGAAGCAAAAATATACAGCTTGCTATCTTACATTAACAACAGCCCCCAGCATTCCAGGGAATTATCTGTGCTTGAGCAAGTGGAGCATACAGGTTAGAGGCAGTTTTGTTTTCTAGATCTCTTAAGCGCCGTAATTTAAACTTAAAACATAATGCTAGCCATCACCTGTGTACATGGGTGTTGTCTGCATATATGTTTGTGTGCCAACTTGTGTGCCTGGTGCCCACACAGACCCTCGGACTGGAGTTAGGGATGATCATGAGTTGCCATGTGGGTGCTGGGAATGGAACCTGGGTCCTCTAGAAGAGCAGTCAGTGTTGACTGCTGAGCCATCTCTCCAGCCTCACTGTGCTGGCATTTTTTTGTTTTGTAATTTTAGAGAGGTGATTTTTTTTTATATACAGCTCTGTATTTGGTAAAAATTAAACATTTCAACTGGGGTGGCGGATGGAGTGGCACACCTCTTTAATCACAGAATTTGGGAAGTAGAGTCAGGCTGATCTCTGAGTTCAAGGCCAGCCTCATCTATAGAGCAAGTTCCAGGACAGCAACCAAGATTGAGACAGAGACAGAGACACAGAGAGAGAGAGAGAGAGAGACAAAGAGAAAAAGGAAAAAAAGAAACTGTTCTTCATGAGACACCAAGTCTTCCAGTACTTTGATCTTGGACCTCTGCACCCCAAGAGCTGTGAGAAGTGCATTTCTGTTGTCTACAAGCCATCCTGTTTATGGTATTCTGTTACAGCAGCCTCAACTCACTAAGAGAATATTCGATAATCCTCAGCTGACAAGTTAAAAACAGAATGTTCTAGGATGACAAAAGCTCATAAGTTGCATTTTGATCAGACCATGACCTCCATTCGGTTATGAAGAATAGCATCAGTCTATAAAGACAACACGTCTGTTTCCTACCCATGACACCTCAGCCCTTGAAGTCTCATTCTCCTCCCTAGAGGCGTCCACTCTTAACTGTCCCACGCACAGTGAGGCATTTTACACCGTTTAATGCTCTAAACACAAACTGTCTAACACTCAGTGTTCCAAGCCTTGCTTTTCTCACATGGAAAAAAAATTGTAGAGTTCATTCTAAAAGTGCCAGTGTTTCACCAGGGTTCCTCAATGTGACAAGAAGGCACGGGAGAGCCAGGCATTGGTGGCGCACGCCTTTAATCCCAGCACTCAGGAGGCAGAGGCAGGCGGATCTCTGTGAGTTCGAGGCCAGCCTGGTCTACCGAGTGAGTTCCAGGACAGGCTCCAAAACAATACAGAGAAACCCTGTCTCGAAAAACCAAAAAAAAAAAAAAAAAAAGAAGGCACGGGAGGCTAACACTGTTTTGAGTTTCTTCTTGTGAAATGGGTTGGCATGAAGCACCCACTGTGTGGTCTGGCATTCAGGGGATATGAGTCAGAGGACAGAGGAGCCAACCAGAGGTACATGGTGTGTCAACAGCTTTCCCCAAGCGTTTCCTGGTCAGCTTTGCCAGGATTTTACAGCTGTTGTTGGAGCTTGTGAGACGGAGGGATGTAATGAGCACACTTAAGCAGAGAAACAAATTAAAATAAGAAGGAGTCACAGTTTCAGAACCATTGGATGGGCAAGGTTTGCAAGTCAAATAGATGATAACTGTGCTGAAAGTGGAGAGTCAGAAATGAGGACTTTCAGACCCAGCCCTGGAAGTGGAAGCTGGAATTACCACAATAGGGAGCAATCTACAGAAAGGAAAGTTGAATGAAAACATACACATATATGTAATTGTGAATATGCAGGCTTGGGTGAGTGGGTTTGTGCACAAATGCATGTATGCACATGCACATTCAAATAAGATTCTTGCACGGAGACTGGAGAGATGGCTCAGCGGTTAGGAGCACTGACTGCACTTCCAGAGGACCCAGGTTCAATTCCCAGCACCCACATGGCAGCTCACAACTGTCTGTAACTCCAAGATCTGACCCCTCACACAGATATACATTCAGGTAAACAAATAACAACAACAACACCAATGCAAATAAAATAAAAATAAACTATACAAAAAAAATCTTGCACATATGAATTGGGACCTGTGCACATAAGCCTCCTTGGGTTAGGAGAGTGAAATGAGGGCATACTAGGGAGGATAGTGCTGCAGTTTTCAGCATGGATAAATATAAAAATAAAATGGTGCTAGGTGTGGTGGCACAGGCTGTAATCCCAGATACTTGGCAGGCATACACAGAAGATTTATAAGATCAAAGCCAGCCTGGCCACAGAGTTCAAACCTATCCTGGGCAATCTAGTGAGACCTGGTCTCGAAATAGAGTAGAGAGAAGCCTGGAGAAGCAGCTTGGTGGGGGAATGCTTGCTTCTACCACTTCATGAGGTCTTAGGTTCAATCCTCAGCACTGCAAACAAACAAACTAATAAGTAACACCAGTGAATGAAGAAAGCAAATGGAAAAGCCAAGAGTAAAGGGGATACATACCAATTTGTGAAACACAAAAACAATGCCTTGTGTTGTGAGCACAAATTTCCCCATTATCTCTACCAATCTCTGGCCCTGGAGGCTCTATAGAAGTCATGGCGCCTCCCTTCCTTCCACCTTTATTTTTATTTATTTAAATTACTCCCTTTGACTTTGATTTTTGAGAGATTTGTAGCCCAAGCTGACCTCAAACTTGTGATCTTCCTGCCTCCACCTCTTGAGTGCTAGGATTCTGAGCTCTCCAACTTATTTTTTATTTGATGTTTGAAAAGAGATCACACCACATTGTTCAGGATGGCCCCATGCTCCTGGCTTCTTTCAATCCCCTGCCTGTTTCCTGAGTAGCTGGTATTGTAGGTGTGTCACTATGCCTGGCTTCTTCCTCTGCCTTTTGTTTGTTTTATGCAATGGAACACACATATGGGAAGGAGTCTAGAGGGAAGAGAAGAGGGAGACCAGTGGGCTCTGGTCTCTTTCTCCTGTCACTGTACCTGGCTTTTTGGGCAGAAGCTGTGGACCACAGCTGTGCTGTCAGGGGACTCTGAATATTGGTAGGCAGATCTTTCTGGGTTCTGTACTGCTGCTTGTTGCCACCCCCAAAGACATCACACCCCTCACTGTGTGTCCCCTTCTTGAACCTTCGTGTTTGCAGGGAGACTTCATTGAACAGGTGTCTCTTCCCATTGTCTGTGGCCTGCTTGGACCTGGTTGATGCACATTGAAATGTGGGAAGACCTAGGACCATACTGTTCTCAGGAGCTAAAAATGTCTATGAAATAAGTAGAAGAGAAAATCTGGCAAGAGAGAGACAGCATTGTTAGCTGTATTTGCAGTTTTATTCATTTGTTAAATTAAAAAAAAAGTCATGATGGGAGATGATGGTACACACCTTTAATCCTAGCACTTCAGAGGCAGGTGGATCTCTGAGTTCGAGGTCAGCCTGGTCTATAGAGCAAGTTCTAGGACAACCAGGGCTACACAAAGAAACCCTGTCTCAAAAAAAAAACCCAGATAGATAGATATAGATAGATAGACAAACAAACACACAAATAAATAAATAAATAAGATGCATCAGAAGCAACTGTGTTAAAACTGTTTAAATCTGTTCAATCTAGGACAAGAGTAGCATATGAGACCCGAGGTAAATTGCACAGGATGGACAATTCTTCCTTTTCCTGGATACCTTGGATGGAGTCTTCACCAGGACCACCTCCAAAGACACAAATCCTACAGGCGTGAGGTGGGTCTGCTCTCAGTGCCTGGAGACAGTAGGAAACACACAACTACAGTGAGCAGGAGGGGTAAGATGAAACCAGGAGAAACTGGACCGGTCTGCCATTCTAGAAGGTGAGCTCTAAGCAGAATGTTGTCATCAGTGTTTGTTGGAAGGCCTGGAGAGCACACTCAGGCCTTGTGCACTCCAGGCAAATGCTCTATCTCTAAACTGTACTCCAGTGTAGGCAGAGTTCTTCATCAGGACTGCTGGCCAGCTCTGTCCCATCAGCTGACTCCCAAATCAACACACAGAGATTTATTATTAATTATAACTGCTCAGCCGATAGTTTAGGTTTGTTTTTAGCTAGCTCTTACAACTTAAATTAACTCACTTCTATTCATCTGTGAACTTCCCATCCTGCTTGCTCCGTGTCTTATGACATCCTGACTCCACTCTTCTCCCCAGCATTCTCTCTCCTGCCTCCCTGCTGGCCATTCAGCTTTTTTATTAAGCCAATCACAGTGGCATATATTCACACAGTATAAAGGAATATTCCACACTCCAGCTCTCAGTTTTGAAGTAGGGTCTCAATATACAGCCCAGGCTGGCCTGGAACTCAAAACCCACATGCCTACCCCTCCTTCCCCAGGACTGATATTACAGTTGTATACAACCCAGACCAGTTCTTAGACATTGACCTTGTGAACTAAGACCCAAATTCACTTGTTTGTTTCCATGTTGCTGAGGAAGTTGCCTATGTAGGCAAAAAGTAGATACAAACCAGTAAAAAAATTGCATGATTTTTCAAAATTCTTCCATGTTGGCTATTCTATAGCTTAGGACCTAGAATCAACCTTGTATGGCCTTGCCTAAGGTATAGCTATGAAGGTGTGCCTATGTGGAGGTGAGAGTATGTAGGTGTACATATATGTGTATGCATATAATGTTGAGGCTTTAAATAGTCTCATTGCAGTCAGATATGATGTTGTTTATCTGTAATCCTAGCACTTGAGACACGAAGGCAGGAGGATTTCCATAAGTTCTAAACTACATAGTAAGTTCCATACCAACTAGAAAGGAAGGGCTTGTCTTCAAAAGAAGGAAGTGGTATAGTGTTTTATTTGTGAAAGTTATATTTATTGCTCTACAAAAATAAATAACAGCTGTAGAATCTGCTGTCCCCCCATTGTAACCTCTATTCCTCTAAAATGAACACCACTGGAACTAGAAAATATAATCCCACCATTTGGGAGGCTAAGGCAGAAGGATCATCATTGGCTGGCCTGAGTATATAGTAAAGCCCTGTCTCTAAAGAACAAACAAACAAACAAGACTGGGTATATGGCTCAGTGGTAAAAAGCACTGAACACTGACTGCTCTTTCAGAGGTCCTGAGTTCAATTCCCACCAACCACATGGTGGCTCACAACCACGTCTGATGAGATCTGATGCCCTCTTCTGGATTGCAGTCATATATGCAGGTAGAACACTGTATATACAATAAATAAATAAATCTTTAAAAAAGTAAAACAAACAAAAGACCATAACACTGCTATTAAAAATATATATTTTATGCTTGTATAAACACATGCAGATAGGTACATTTTTGTATATGCATATACGAATTATATGCATGGTGTATGTGTGTGTATTCATGTGTATAAGTCCAGGTAGGCCATGGTGCAACTGTGCAGATCAGAGAACAATCTTAGATGTTGGTCCTCACTTTCCACTGTGTTTGAGACAGTCTTTTGTTCACTGATATGTCTGTCGGACTAGCTTTCCCAGGAGCTTCTGAGAATTCTTCTGTCTCCACTGCCCATCCTACCACAGGAACACTGAGACTACAGATGGAATCCAACCTAATGTAGGTTCCCGAGAATTTCAGTTTGGGTCTTCACACTTGCATGGCAAATGCTTTATTCACTAACTCACCTTCCCAATCCTAGATACATTAATTTTAATGTTAAAGACTTGACTCTATGCTTGGTCTCCAAATTTTTTTTTCTTTTTGCTTTGAAGCAGAATTTTGTATGGGTCAAATTGGTTTAGCCAGTTCACAATATAGCCAAGGATGGCTTTGAACACCTGACTTTCTGTGATGGCCATTCTTGGTTGTCAACTTGACTATACCTGGAATGAACTATAATCTAGAAATGGAAGGCACACTCGAGATCCAGATCTCGAGGCAAGAGATCAACATGCCTTTGGCCCAGATCTTGAGGCTGAATGACACACACCTTTAATCCAGATCTTAAGGTGAGTAGGCATACCTTTAATCTTGGCCATACCTTCTGCTGGAAGCCTACATAAAGACAAGAGAAGAAGCAATGGTGTGTGTTCTGTCTTTACCAGCTTGCCCTCACCTTTCAGAACATCCATTCCTACACTGGCATTGGAGCCTACTTCTTTGGAATTCCAGCATAGACAGAAGACCAGCTGAGACTCTCAGCCTTGTGGGACTGAGCAGTTACAAGTTTCTTGGAATTTCCATTCAAAGCAAGCTATTATTGAAATATAGCCTGTAAGTCTAAGCACTTGTGTGTGTGTGTGTGTGTGTGTGTGTGAGAGAGAGAGAGAGAGAGAGAGAGAGAGAGAGAGAGAGAGAGAGAGTAGAGAGAGAGATTCATTCCATAAGTTCTATAATTCTGGAGAACCCTCACTAATACAACCTCCTATGTCCCATTGACAACTTTTTAAATGAACTTTATTTATTTATTTGTTTATTTTTCTTATTTATTTATTGTTGAGGCAGGGTCTCACTATCTAGTCCAACTCATAGGCATCTGCTTGCCTCCATGCCCTAAGTGCTGGTGCTAAAGGTGTGTACCACCATGCCTGGCAAAGCATGAGTTCTTACTCATTTTCACCAGAACCCAATAATCAGGACATTCTGAGCACGATTTCAGCATTGGCAGTACTCACTGGTCATCCATGTGCCAGATTTTGTCTTGATACGGCCTCCAGGTCTGCTCAAATCTTCTTTGTAGCTGTTACATGTTGTCAATAAAATATATGAATCATAGCTCACTCTCTCATGCAAGGCGTTGTGCTGGCTCTAGCTTGTGACTCATGCCTTGTCTTGTATTTGGCCCTTGGTGTATATGAGTAACAATTTCTTTGGACTAAATCACCAAAATTTAAAGTGCTATGGCATGTACTTAAAGGTATACCATTAAACTCTCTTATCAAAGGCTCTGACAGTTCTCAGTTTCACCCACAGTGTTTATCCTTACAGGTATTGGACACCATCAGTTTTTAAGTTTTTAAGAAAGTACACCTCCCAAAAACAATACAGAGAAACCCTGTCTTGAAAAACCAAAAAAAAAAAAAAAAAAAAAAAGAAAGTACACCTCCTTACCAACTCTGAGAATGGTAGACTACGCCTGTAATCTCAGCACTTAAGAGACTGAAGCAAAATGATTGCTCTAAACTTAAACCTGGGCTGCTGTCTAAAAACACTCCCACCCCAAGCACAAAGCACAGGGGCTGATGCAAGTAAACTCAGGAGGCTGAGGCAGGAGGATCCCTATGAGTTTGAGGCCAGCAAAGGTTGCACAGTAATTTAAGGCCAGAGTGTTGGGACTATCGGCCTATTCCATCACACCTGATTGCTTTTCTTGTTGACTTACATCTATGTATATGATGTCTAAAATTCCTTTCACTGATGTACATATAAATGTCTATCTTTGGAATGGGCATGGAGGCACATGGCTTTAATTCGAGTACTAGGGAGGCTGAGGTAGGTGGATCTCTGTGAGTGTAAGACCATACTGGTCTATGTAGAGAGCTCTTGTATTAAAAAGTAAGATAATAACAATAAATCTCTATCTTTTTTTTCTGAGACAGGGTTTCTCTGTGGCTTTAGAGGCTGTCCTGGAACTAGCTCTTATAGACCAGGCTGGTCTCGAACTCACAGAGATCTGCCTGCCTCTGCTTCCCGAGCGCTGGGACTAAAGGGGTACACCACCACCTCCTAGCATAAATGTCTATCTTTACTTAAGTCTTCTCCTTTTTAAAGCCCCTGATCATCTGGACAGTGGTGGCATACTCCTTTAATCCCAACACTCTAGAGGCAGAGGCACGCAGATCTCTGTGAGTTTGATGCTACCTTGGTCTATAAAGTGAATTCCAGGACAGCCAGTACTATTACACAGAGAAACCCTGTCTCAAAAAAACAAAACAACATAAAACCTACCTTTTTATTTTTTGAGACAGTTTCACTATGTAGCTTCTGGGTGGCCTCAAACTCAGAGATTTCCCACCCCAGTCTCTGCCTCTTTGGTGCTAACTCCTTGTCTTTTTTTTTTTTTTTTTTTTGGTTTTTCAAGACAGGGTTTCTCTGTGGCTTTGGATGCTGTCCTGGAACTCCCTTGGTAGTCCAGGCTGGTCTCGAACTCACAGAGATCCGCCTGTCTCTGCCTCCCGAGTGCTGGGATTAAAAGTGTGCGCCATCAATACCCGGCTCCTCCTTGTCTTTTAAATTCAATTCTTAGTGCCTTTTGATTCAGAACATGTTTCATTTTTACAACACTGTTTTTTTGGGGGGGGGGTTGAGACAGGGTTTCTCTGTATTGTTTTTAGAGGCTGGCTGTGCTTTACAGCTCTGGGTGTGCTTTATGGACAAGTGACATGCAGAGCATAGCAACCACCCTGGGAGGGCCTATGGGCCATAACAACCAGTTGACCAATCAACACAGGGCAGGTCATCCAAACTTGGAAGCCCATCAATCCTGAGACGTTTGCATACCCTAGATACTCCCTTTACACTGCACTTTAAGATCCCTGCCTTGAGGTTCTCCAGCCATCTGCCATGGTGGCTGGGTGAAGGACCCAAGCTAATGGGTTAGCTCCTTAAATAACTTTAATAAAAGACTCTTCGCTTTTGCATCAAAATGGGCCTCTTAGTGATTTTGGGGTTCAGAATTTGGGCACAACAGTGTGCCCACATACATGCAAACACATACACAAATACACATATTACACACACACATAAAAAGAAGAAAAAGAAAAGAGTACCAAGATTGCTGATTTTTCCATATTTCTATCAACACTTTAACCTAAGAGTAGACACAATTCACATATAAGTAGGTATAATTTGTAATACATATGGTGTAATATGTATATGTTTGTACTGAAGAATAAATGGCCCTTATATATGCATACATGCTAGGCAAGTGTCCCACCACAGTCCCTGATATATATATATATATATATATATATATATATATATATATATTTTTTTTTTTTTTTTGGTTTTTTCGAGACAAGGTTTCTCTGTATTGTTTTGGAGGCTGTCCTGGAACTCACTCGGTAGACCAGGCTGGCCTTGAACTCACAGAGATCCACCTGCCTCTGCCTCCCGAGTGCTGGGATTAAAGGCATGTGCCACCAACGCCCGGCTCAGTCCCTGATATATAACTAACTATCTCTTTTTTATTAAAAAAAATTAGACATGGCCTCATTATGTAATTCCAGCTGGCTCCTGCCTCAAACTTCTGAGTGCTGAAATATATAGATGTTACAGATATACACTGCTATGCCAACTCTTTTCCCCTTGGTGCCCGAGACTGATCCCAGGCCCTTTCACATGGTAAAAAAAATGTTCTACTACTGACCTGGGGCCACGCCCCCTATCAGATTATCCTTGCAGAACAGCCGAACTGTTCAGAAAACACTCAAGAACACAAAGATCATTGTTGTGACTCAAGGAAGCACAAGGTCATTAGAAGGCTGTCTAGAGAAATGTAGAGGCTGGAACGAGCTTCTGCCTCTGATATCAAGATGAAAACTGGGTGACTGCCAGAGGAGTACAAGGCACCCCTTTGAAGTGAGAAGGCTCTGCTTGCACTTGGATCCTCCATCCTAGATGGATCTGGGCACCCCTTGGGATGGAAACTGTGGCCATGCCCGGTTGCACAGGACTCACCTGAGCACAGAAGCAGCAAATGTCACGTGGACCTTTGACAATTCTCCTGGGTCTCATTTGCTGTCTTGCCACAGGTACTGAAGAAGTGAGCAGAAACTTTCCGATGTTTTCAAAGAGGATGTTACAATAACCGAGCTCCTGAGTTTGCTAGAAAGCCGTAAGACTTGCCCCACTAAGGTTAAAGATTCTTTCCTCCCTTCAGTTTGGTCAGATATCTTGCTCACAGAGACTCATAGGAAACTAATGTGGGGCTGGAGAGATGGCTGGTGGTGTGCCTGCTGCCAAGGCTGACAACCAGAGTTCGGTTCCTGGGATCCACAGGATAAAAGTAGATCACCAACTCCTTTGAGCTGTTCTCTGACCTCCACATGCATGCTGGGGCACACACACACACACACACACACACACACACACACACACACACACACACAAATAAATATAACTAAAAATTAATACAGCCTGCTAGAATAATCATAACAAAGTATCATGAGGTAACAAACAAAGGATTCTAGAAGCTAGAAGTCTGAGATCAGGGTGCTACATGACTTAGCTTATAGATGGCCACATTTCTACTGTGTGCTTACATGGCCTTTTCTCAATGTGCTCATATGAATAGAGAGAGCCCTAGCTCCCTCCTTAAGGTCAGCAATGCTACCAGATGAAGACTCATCTTTTGTAACTTAAAAGCCCTATCTCCAAATATCCTCACTGGCTATAGGGCTTCAGTCTTAGGAGGTTTGAGATCTCTACAGTCCACAGCAAAGAGTAAGCAGTCCCTCTCTGTTCTCATCATGGAACAACCTAGTCACCCTCTAGGGACTAGGCAATGGCAGTTGGGAGGCAGATAGGATATGCGGCACAGGAAGAGAAGACCTGAAGGAAGAGCTCTGATTGAGGACTGTCTCAGAGTCATGAAGGTTGAAGGTAATTTTTCTACACGGTGACTCCAGCTGCATGAGTCCCTTGATCACCCTTCCTGTTGCTTTTGGGAGAATGCCCAGACTCTGCCACTGCAGAATCACTGCCTACTCCACTGTCCAGCCTCTCCTTGCCACCTGCTGAAGCAATCCTACTGAGCTTTATCTCGGGGGCCAAGGAATCCCCTTCCACCTTTAGGCCTGTGCACCGTAAGTTCCCAGAACACTGATCCATGCAGACGGCAGCTCCATCTCATCCCCTCTCCTCGGTTTGTGCTAGATAGTGCCCTTTCTCATCTTAGAGGTCTCAGAAGAGAGGAAGTCTGGAATCTATAGATGTGACATGTTTGTGCACGTGCAAACTGTATCCCTAAGAGACACTGTGAACTGAAAACCGAGTCTAAGTTTAGGTGGATTCCAAGCTCTTCCCTCTCCCAAGATCCTCTAAAAATAGTGCAGCACTTAGGAAATCTGCCTTGCTCTTAACACAAACATGCTCAGATCTGAATCCAACAGAAAAAGGCTTTACTGCCTGGGAGAAAACCCATGACTCCTAGCGGGTGACATGGGTGGATAAGGAAGTGTCTGAAATTATTTGCCTTCCTTTCAGAGTTTGTCTCCTCCCACACTCCTGAGCTCTGCCTCAAAAACAAGGAGACAGGAACAACCTGTAAAATCAGTTGATCACCAAGGAGAAAAATGCAGAGTGTTGCACCCTGTGTACCTCATGTTCAAGAAGGAGATTCAGATGAGCCAAGAGCAGAGCAAAATTTATTTAACACCAGCAGCTGATCATAGTCTGTTTGTTTTGTTTTGTTTTTTTATTTTTCAAGACAGGGTTTCTCTGTGGCTTTGGAGGCTGTCCTAGAACTCGCTTGGTAGTCCAAGCTGGTCTTGAATTTACAGAGATCCGCCTGCCTCTGCCTCCCGAGTGCTGGGATTAAAGGCGTGCACCACCAATGCCCGGCCATATTCAGTCTTATCTAACAACTGTGTGTGTGTATGTGTGTGTGTAAAACGACAACCCGTGGGAATCATTTTTCACCTACTTACCGTATGGGTCCCAGGGATCAAATTCCAAGAATCTGACTTGGTAGCAAGTATTTTTACCTTCAGAGCCATGTTGCCAACATTAAGATGTTTCTTCTGCTGTTTGTGTTCATATTTTTATTTAAAATTATTTTGTTTCTTTGAGGCAGTCTCACACATAACCCAGGTTGGCCTTGAAACCACCATATAGATGAGGATTACCTGGAACATCTTATTCTCCCGCCTCTCCCTGCTGAGTTCAGAGATTGTAGGTGGGCACCACTATGCTCTGTTTATTCAATGCTGTCAATTGAACCCAGGACCTCATGCATACTAAGCAAGTACTCTACCAACTGTGATACATCCTCAACTCCTGATGCTTCTGTTCTCATGAGAAAAAAATGAGCCCAGAACTTGTAGGAATTTAATTTGTCTGTAGTATTGGTATACTGGCTAGAAGGAAGCTATGACCACCAATGGCTCACATGTACCCTCTGAACTCCACATCATTGCATGGAAAAGGAGATCTTGAGAGCTGCAGTCACAGCTGTGCTTTCTCCTCCCGTCCTCCCCCTCCCCCTCCCCCTCCTTCTCCTCCTCTACAGGCTCTCACTATGTAATCCTGGCTGGCCAGGAACTTGTTTTTTAGACCAAGATGGTCTCAGACTCACAGAGCTCCTCTTTGCCTCTGGAATGCTGGGGTTAAAGATGCTGGGGGTGTGGTTACCACATCTGGCCTCACAACCTTCTGGGAGCCTGTTCTCCTTGTTGCCTGTTCTCCTTGTCTGGAAAAACCAAATAAACAAACAAACAAACAAACAAAGTGGACAGCTCCCTGGTGAGACTCTCAGGCGACATCTCGTCTCCTTAGCTGCCCAATGAGGTGTATCATTGCTTCCTCCCTGCCTTCAGCCCTCATAGTTACTCATAGGACACACACGGATGGGCAGATGCTACTTAGAGATTATGTCTTTTTTGTTCTTTCCAGAAATGCCCTTCAGCAACAAGTGTCTGTAAACAGTCAGCAACAATGTTGAAGACAGAGCAATGACCTCTAAAAGATCTCACCTCAGATTTGCTATTTGTTTGGTCTGTTTGCTGTTGCTAGAGACTCAGTGACTTATGAAGAAAAGAATTACTTTTGTTCATGGATCTATGGTGACTTTCTTACTAGGAGAGGTCATCGTGGCATAGGGTTTCATGTGGCAAGGGAGGACATGCTGGCGACCTAGCTTCATGGGGGTTAGAGGAAAGCTACTCCCCCAGAAAATCCAACCGGTCCCAGCACTGGCAGGAGGATTTGGCAACTCAAGGCTAACCTGGACCACTGTGAGAAAAAAAACAAAAACAAAACAAAAAAACAGGGGAGGAAGGAAAGAAGGGAAGGAGGGTACCCATTAGCGCATGATCTACTGTTCATAGAATGAGCATCTCCCAGGAGAGGTACCTTCCCTATTTTTACAATTCATTTGTAGGGTGAATTTTTTCCATATTTAACCTTCCTCTTTTTTTTTTTTTTTTTTTTGAGACAGGGTTTCTCTGTATTGTTTTGGAGACTGTCCTGGAACTCACTCTGTAGACCAGGCTGGTCTTGAACTCACAGAGATCCGCCTGCCTCTGCCTCCCAAGTGCTGGGATTAAAGGCCTGCGCCGCCAACGCCCTTAACCTTCCTCTTAAGACACTAGGAAAAGCCGATCTCCTCCACCAGTACTCACCATGCTGGTTTTTTGAGTTAGGGCTGGAAAGCAAAGAGAAGTTTTCTGTCACCGGATATGGACGAAGAACGAAGAACGCGCTGTGGCTTCTGAGTTACTGGCATATTGTGAGAAGAGCATGGGAAAAGCTTATTAGACAACATAGCAGCGGAGGTAAGAAAGAGTCATGAAACCTGACCTGCTTGCCCAGCCCCCTCTGCTGCCAGCCTTCCTCTGCAATTCTGGACTTATAAACCAATGATTTCACTTCAGTATCAGGCAAATTGAAATGTCTGAGTGAAATACAATGTGCCTCTGAAAATGCTACAGGAAGTTGGCCGTGGTAGCACATGACTGCAGTCCCAGCACTCCAGAGCTAAAGTCAGGGGGATTACAAGTTGAAGACCAGCCTGAGCTACATTGCAAGACCCATTCCCAATAGCCAGGCCTGGTGATACATGCCTGTTGTTCCAGCAATGAGGGAGTAGAAGCAAAGGATCATGAATTTAAGACCAGTTTGTGTTTCATAGGGAATTTGAGGCTAGCCTGGGCTACATGGAACCCTGACTCAAGGAAAGAAAATATGTTCTCAAATTTTATTTATTAGTGTTTCTCATGTTTTGTGTGTGTGTGTCTAATTTACAAAAGTAAAGACTATATTTCCTTTAACCATGGTCTCCTTAAAGGTACAAGAGTTCTTCATGCACCATAACTAGGCCTTTTGAAGCTTGGTCTAGAGATGAAAGCATGAAATAATTTCTAAGCTGCAGGACTTTCATTTTATTTATGTTTATTTATTAGGGGTGTGTGAGTGCTAGGATCAACATGTATAGAAATCATCTTTAGGCTTGGTGTCAAGCACCTTTACCCACCAAGCTATCACTGGCCCTGTAGGGCTTTTTTTTTTAATGGAAATGTATAATCCATTGTTCTAGTTAGCGTTTAAGTGTCAAGTTGACACAGCCTAGGCTCACCTGGGATGGGAGTCTCAACTGAAGAATTGCCCAGACCAACTGGGCTGTAAGCATGCTGATGGAGTATTGTGTTCATTGTTAATTGATGCAAGCAAGGCCACTATGAACAGTAACATTCCCTGGGCAAGCATCACTGAGCTATATTAGAAGGCTAGTTAAGTATGAGCCAGTGAGTAAAGTCAGCAAGCAGTGTTCCTCCATGGTTTCTGCTTCAAGGTCCTCCTAGAGTTCCTGCCTGATTTCCCTCAGTATCAGACTGTGACCAGGAAGTATAAGCCAAATAAACCCTTTACCACCAGCCCCTACCACCCCAAGTTACTTTTGAAAGAGATGTTTTATCGCAGCAACAGAAAGGAAAGCAACACCTGCAGACAGTTACATACACACGAATAATCAAAGCTTCTCATGTGCTGGGTACCATGGCAATATTTTACTTGCGGGATTTTCCTGTGCTTATGTCAAATGTGAATTCACTGGAGACTCCTAAGAAGGCTGTGTAATTAGCACCATTATTATCAATGTTAAATTACTGTTGAACCTGTCTGGTGAATTTCAAGAGTGCTGTGTAACTTGCACAGAATTTGATAGCTCTTCATTTATTCTGAATTGAGCCACTTTGAATGCAGCTTTGAGTCAAGATTTTTTTTGTTTCCAGAAAGCAGGAAATGTAATGTATACAGGATATGCAGTCTACACAGACAGACACACAGACACACAGACACACACACACACACACACACACACACACTGCATGGATTTTGTTTTCTCGCAGACATCTAGAGCAGTTTCTATCACGCCATTTGGTGAACAGCTTCAGCTGGATCCCTTTTGTGCTGTTGAGAGCAGTTGAGGAGAAACAACAGTTAGATCACAGATCTCTTTGATATTCCTGAGACCTGAGAATTACACACTGATCCAGGAAGGGCGAGGCAGATCAGGGAAAAGAGAGAATGCTGCTTATGGAAAAAGGTGAAATTTTATATTCTTTGGACAGAGACAACTTCGAAAATTACAGGGTGTGTTTGGAAAACATTTTACTTCCTCCTTTTATATTTAGATTCAGACTGTGCTAAAAGTTGATGTTTTTATGTAGGGGAAAGGGGATTTAAAACAGGTTCTCATGTAACCAAGACTGGACCAGGTCCTTCTGTCATTTCCCCAGTGCAAAGATCACAGGTAGGCACCACACCCAGAGTCTGTATATGTATATCTTTCCTGAAGAGTTGTTTAGTGGTTAAAAGCACCCACTACTTTTGCAGAGGCAACACCCTTTTCTAGCTCAACAATCACACACACACACACACACACACACACACACACAGAAATGAATCTTTCTTTAAGGAGAAAAAAACATGGACCAAAGACTTTCATCTAAAATCTGAGATGATGGAGAAATACTTCAAGATATAGACAAGATGCCGGGCGGTGGTGGCACACGCCTTTAATCCCAGCACTTGGGAGGCAGAGGCAGACAGATCTCTGTGAGTTCGAGACCAGCCTGGTCTACAAGAACTAGTTCCAGGACAATCTCCAAAACCACAGAGAAACCCTGTCTAGAAAAACAAAAACAAACAAACAAAATAAGATAGAGACAAGAACTTTCTGGAAAGAACTGTAAAGTGTTGCTCCAAGTCAGACAACAGGACATGTGCTGCTCAGGAGAAATGAACCAGAACTCAAACCAAGCTCTTTGGACAAGGGCTGGAGCTCAATCTATAGCTTAAAAAAAAAAAGGTAAAAATATTTAAAGTCTACAAAGTGAGTTCCAGGACAGCCTGGGCTGTTACACAGAAAAACTCTATCTTGAAAAAACAAAAGAGAAAAAAAAAACCATTGTATTATTACTAATTACACCCATGTCTGTTTGTGGCTATGTGCATGTTGGAATGCCTGTGGAAGCCAAAGGTATCAGACTTCCCTGGAGATGGTGTTATAGGCAATTGTGATAGGTCTGACATGGGCATTGGGAACTGAACTTGGGCCCTCTGTAAGAGCAGTTCAGCTCCTTACTGCTGAGCCATCTCTCAGCACCAGGCAGGGGTTTTGAGTTTACTGGAGAACAAACTGATGGAGAGGAATGAATTAGCAAGGTTTGGGTGTAGGACCACTAAAGTGGAAAACAAAAAAAAACAGAAAGGGAGACCAGGAATAGCATTGTATTTTTTTTTTTAAGACAGGGTTTATGTAGCCTAGGCTAGCCTTAAACCTGCTATTTAGCTCAGCCTGGATTTTATGCCTCAGCTTCCATGTGTTGGAATTACAGATGTGTACCACTCCCACATCTGTGAGGGGAGTGGGGGGATTATAGGGTCTCATGTAGCTGAGGCTAGCTTGCTGTGTAGCCAAAGATCGCCCTGAGCTTCTGATCCTCCTGGATCCATCTCTTAAGTGCTGGTATCGCAGACATTTGCCATCATGCCCATATCCTCCTTTGTTTCTGTTTCTATTGGAGCTAACGAGACAAGTGAAGCAAGAGGGAAGAGTTCTGACAATGTGGCCTGGTCAAGAGAATGGGGAAGTAGAGCCTGTACAAGTGTCACCACTGTATAAGTTGAGAGGGACTAAATGTCTATCGTACTGATAAACAGTTGCTACCGACAACATCCTTGTGGTTTCTTTCTGGCTGTCAGGTGTACTGTAGAGGGAAAGTTCTTTTCTTTCTGATTTCCTGCCTAGAACATACACATGGACGTTCTAGGGTGTAGTTCAGTTGGTAGAGTGCTTGTCTAGAAAGCATGAGGTACTGGGTTTAATCCACACCAACATATAAATAAGCCATGGCAATTCACACATGTAAGCCCAGCACTCCAGTAACACAGCCACTTTGAGGTCAGTATGGTCTACATGAAACCCATTCTTTTTTTTTTGGTTTTTTCGAGACAGGGTTTCTCTGTATTGTTTTGGAGGCTGTCCTGGAACTAGCTCTGTAGATCAGGCTGGCCTTGAACTCACAGAGATCTGCCTGCCTCTGCCTCCTGAGTGCTGGGATTAAAGGCGTGCGCCACCCAATGCCTGGGCCATGAAACCCATTCTTTAAAAAAAAAAATAGTGATTGTTCCTAAGTCATTTTAAAATGTAGGAAAATTCTTTTAAAGGAAAATCTTTTCTTTTAAAATTATCTTATTTTTATGTGCAAGGATATTTTACCTATGTGAATGTCTACGGACCAAATGTGTGCCTGGTGCCTCTGGAGACCAGAAGAGGCTGTAGGATCCCCTAGAACTAGAGTCACAGATACTTGTGAGCTGCCATGTGGGTGCTGAGAATCAAATCTGGGTCCTCTGGAGGAGTAGCCAGTGTTCCTCACCCCTGAAGCTGTCTCTCCAACCCTGAAAGTAGGAAAATTCAAATCTGTTCATCAACTTCAAAATAAAAGACTAGTCAGTGATTTTTTTTAAAGAAAATTTACAAGAGAAGCCTTTTAAGGAGCCTACACCCATACTTTCAGGCATGTCTTGCTTTCTTCCTGAAATTCTTTCTCTTAACTTTAGCTCAGACTTAAAAATCTATATTAATATCCTTTTTAAATAACTCTGATTCCGTCAGAAAGAAAGGCGGGGAGAGGAAGGGGAGGAATGCAGAGGGAAAGAATGCATGAGGGGTAGCAGAGTCCTCTAAGTTCCTCCCAGCTCTGGAACATTTGCATTGTTAGTCTTGCTTTACTTTCCTAAGAGTGGAAGAGCTTGGAGCAGGCCCATTCCTACAGGATGCGGGTAAAGAAGGCTGGATTTTGGGATTGGCCAATTTGGCTGACTCACCGAGTGTGGCAAGCTTCCTGTCTCCGCTGCTGAGTAACAAAAGGAGAGCTGTGTTTGTGTCTCATGGCTTTTTGTAACTTCCAGTTCACCAGATGCTGCAAGTTAGACTTGGGACTGATGTAATGTCCCACAGAAGTGGAACAAAAGCCAGTCGGGTACCTCCTGTCTGTAACCCCAGCACTCAGGAGACAGAGGCAAGAGGGTGTCGTGAGTTTATGGGCAACCTGAGCTGCAGATCTTGTCCCATAAAACCAAAAGGATGAAGATGAAGAGTAGGAATTGGGAAGGTGGGGGGTTAATGGGAAACTCCTATCTCCTATAAAAATAATTCCTCTCACAGGGAAGAAAGCAAAAACAGTCTTAAGATAAAGTCTGGTTAGCTGGTTTATGAAAATGTCGGTCAATAGCCTGGCCTTTATGATAAACTAAAGTTTCTGATTAGGAATAGTGGCATACACCTTTAATTCCAACACTGGGCAGGCAGAAGCAGGCAGGTCTCTCTGAGTTTAAGGCTAGCCTGGTCTACATATTGAGTTACAAGGCCAGCCAGGGCTTCATGGTGAGACCCTGTCCAAAAAAGAAAGAAATGAAGAAAGGAAGGAGGGAGAGAAGGAGGGAGGGAAGGAAGGAAGGAAGGAAGGAAGGAAGGAAGGAAGGAAGGAAGGGTTAATTAGTTAAGGTTTCTGGGCTGAGGTTGAAGCTCCATGGGAGAGCATTTGCTGAGGCCTAGGGTTAGGCCTCAGCCTCAGAAACTAATAATGACAATAGTACTAATATTTCTTTCTTTCTTTCTTTCCTTTTTTTTTTTTTTTTTTTTTTTTTGGTTTTTCGAGACAGGGTTTCTCTGTATTGTTTTGGAGGCTATCAGTCCAGCCCAGCCTCGAACTCACAGAGATCCGCCTGCCTCTGCCTCCTGAGTGCTGGGATTAAAGGCGTGCGCCACCGCCACCACTGCCCGGCTTTAATATTTCTTTGGTGTTAGTTTGAATTTTCCACTGAGTCCTGAACCAAAACTTCACAAAGATGGCAGGAGAAAACATAGAAAGGATTTCAGCTCCACACTAAAATTTCTTTCTTAGAGAAATTAATGTAAACAGCATTTATTTCCTCAAGGATGGGTTCATTTCCTCAAGGACGTGGGAGTCTGGGATCTTTGACCTTGTGGTATCTGGTGACTCATTTTTTTTTCCTTGATGCAAAAGTCAGTTTATTTGTGTGAAAATGCTTTGCTTATGCAGATCTGTTCTTCAAAACATATGGTTCTTCCTAAGGACTTTATCTGCCCACTCACTACTTTATGACTCTCTCGTTTCCTAACTCTTTCCAGGACTGGGGATCAAACCTGAGTCCTCGCACACAGCAGGCAAGCATCCTACCACTGAGCCGTACCCCAGGCTCATAAGATTATATTGACACACACAAAATATTTTTGTCTTCTCGAAGGATGGTTCTCTGGGGGCTCCCTTGTGAACTAGATGTTCAGGATCAACAAAGTCAACAAAGGTGATTTGTGCTTTTCTGAATGCCAGAAGCAAGTGAGGCAGACCCCTGCATTCATTTCTGCTGAAAACTTGGCTGTTGATCAGCATTTCCACCAAGTGACTTCAAAGCATAATTATGCAAGGTGTGACAGTGCACACCTGTGATCCCACCACTGAGAGACTGAGGCAAGAGGATTTCAACTTTAAGGTCCGCCTGGGCTGCAAGCAATATATACAAAACACAAAAGCAAACAAACTCAACGGCATAATTATTAGACCTGTTGTCAGCTCAGCACATATGACAAAGGGTCTTGTGAGAAGTTGTACTCTGGGCGAACTCTAAATGCCTTCCCCCGTCCCTAAATGAGTTGCTGTACTGGTGTGGCTTTCTATTGTTAGATTTCCTAGAAACGTACGAATTTCTAAGAGCCAGAATCTAATCTACAATTTCATTCATGCGCTCCCATGGCATTTAAATTGCATTCAAGTCTTCTGCTCCTGTTTCCATGCACATCTCCTGGGACTGTGGTCTTAGAGAAGGAGAGAAGGAGAGAAACAACAGACTCTAGTGAGAAACACAGGAAACGAGGCTTACCGTGAGAAAATTCTTCTGGTGTTTACATGCTCAGTTGAGTACAGCTGTGTCATCGAGGGCCCAGCCTACAACAAAACAGGAACTGGGTTTCACGGAAAGGGTCTCAAGAGCATCCTCATTGTTATGTCACGTGCCAGTGTGTCTTATCGGCATGTAGATTTGAGTGTTGCTGTGCAGTCAGTCACATGCAGCGGGATTTCCAGGTAGAAAAGTGGAATGCTGTTTTCCTATTTTTTTTTTCAGATCTAACACATTCTTTAAGACACTCAATTCGCTTAGCTGTAGGAAAACTGGGCTAGCCTTAGGACAATGGGATTTACTGTGGTGATGGAAAAAGAAGACTCGAGTCATAAAGGAACAAAATGACTTATTTCAGACAGGATGGGGGGGGGACACTCTGAGTAATAAGCTAAGACCCAAAGGACGAGAAAAGATTAGGGCAAGAGTTCCTAGAAGATGAAACAGTTTACACAAAGACCCTATGGCTGAGCAGGATTAGTGTTATGAGCCAAAGACAGTGACATGAAATGAGTTTGGGAAGGTGGTTAGAATTTCTGGAACTGGAGAGATAGCTCAGTAGTTAAAAACTCTTGCAGAGCCAGGCATTGGTGGCACACGCCTTTAATCCCAGCACTTGAGAGGTAGAGGCAAGCGAATCTCTGTGAATTCGAGGCCAGCCTGGTCTACAGAGCAAGTGCCAGGATACACTCCAAAGCTACACAGAGAAACCCTGTCCGAGAAACACAAAACAAACAAACAAAAGTTCTTGCAGAAGACCCAAGATGGGCTCCTAGCTCCCATACCAGGTGGCTTACAGAGCCTACAGCTCCAGTTCCAGGCGTCCCAATGCCTCTGGTCTCTGTGGGCACCAGCACTCATGTACACACATATACATGCACATACATGATTTTTAGAAATTAATGTTTTGGAAATTCTCACTGTGTAGCCCTGGCAGCCTAGAGCTTGCTATAATGATGAGGCTGGACTTGAACTCAGAGATCTTCCAGCCTTTGTCTCCTGAGTGCTGAGGGAAACAAAATATCTTTTTTAAAAATTCCCTTTCTGGGGGCTGGAGAGATGGCTCAGCAGTTAAGAGCACTCACTGGCTGCTCTTCCAGAGGTCCTGAGTTCAATTCCCAACAACCACATAGTGGCTCACAACCATCTGTAATGAGATCTGGTGCTCTTTTCTGGTATGGAAGAAAACAAAGCACTCATATAAATAAATAAATATTTTAAAAAACAATTCCCTTTCGGCAGCAACTTGGAGGTTTCTTCAGGTTTCTATCATCTATCTGTCTATATACCTACCTACCAACTTATCTATGTTTTTGGAGACAGGGTCTTGAGGACTTCAGTCTCCCAAATGCTGGTATTATAGATCCATTCCATCATGCACTAGGGTCAGTTTATTTTTAATTCTTTGTGTAGTAGAAATCCATTAAGGTGTTTTGTGTAGATTCTAGTGTAAAGTGGCTTTTGTTTTCTCATACATATCTGTTTTTCTGTGATAAGAATAGATTGGCTGCAACAGGAGATGGACAGTAATAGAGGTGGCCATGCTTGTGGTGGGCTCTGGAGGTAGAACAGACAGCACTCTGATGTACTGGATGCAGAAAGTGAGGGGAAAGACAAGCCAGGGCATCTAAATGACAGACGGTGCTGTTTCAAGACAGGTAAGGGTTAGGGTGGAGCAACAGGTTTGGACGGCAAGGAACCAGAGCAGCCGGTGGCACATCTGGGTGGCCATGGGTTCCCTGATGAAAATACGAACATAATTTGGACATAGTTACCTCGAGCTGCAGGGAGAGATCGGGGCTAGGAACATAAATCTCAGCATATGGCATTTGATGCCATCAAAACTGTTGAACTGGATAAGATCACACAGAAGAACACAGATAAGACCCAAAGCGCTCAAGATCCTTAACATTCCGGGGACTGAATAGTGGCAGTACACAGAGAGCCAAAGATGTGGCAAACAGTGAGAAAGGGACATTCCTGGTACTAGGAGAACATTTCCAGAAACACTGGGCGATCGACTGATTGGCATTACTTAGATCAGAACACTCGAAAACAGAAACATGCAACATGCGTGGGGTTGGGCAACATACGCCTATGATGAAAGCTGATTTGGTGAGGTTGACGGGGAAGAGCCGGCCAGAGGGAAGTGGAGACAGAATAGAGAGGGCAGGCTTCCAAAAGCTCAGGCCCAGATGAAAGCTGTTTTAAGGCCTTTTGCTTCCCTGCACCTTGTGAAAGAACAAAGCTCTAAGGTTACTGTCAGATTGCAACCCGGTGTTCCCTTCCTGTTTTGATCACAAAGTCTGCTTTGCTTCAGTTTTCAATTAGAGCTTACCAGAAAATCATCTCCTTTCATCCCAGCACGAAGCCTCGACGTGATTGTTCTGCAAAGCTAACTCCTAATGATATTGGCACACGTGAGCTTCCTGGCTATGTCCTTGTTGAGTGGGGATATCATTCTGGTGACCCTGATTTCTTGTTAGAAGTTCAAAATATCTTTCTATCATCATGAAGCCAATTAATATTTCAAGAGAAATATTCTTCTTGCTGTAGTTCAGCCAAGAAATTGAAAAGGATCGAGCATGGCCAGCCCGCTTCTGTTGTTTGTGCAGGGATGACAGCAAAAAGAGGAATTGGCATTGTTGTCCTCTGTTTTCTCTTATCCTCTGCTGCCACGCCAGGGACTGCCGACTATTGAGTTGTCTCACTCCGCTCCCAGATCCAGGAACTAAAACAGCACTTGCCTTTTTCTGACTGCCCTTGGGTCTAACGCTGCACCCCTTCATCGTTCTCTCCCCCCTTTGGACAAGCGCAGTCGCTCAACCATCTCTTCCTCTGTCACTGACTACTGCTGACCTATGGGACTAATAGGACACCGTGGAAATGATATGTGATGGCTTCCAAGACTAGGCAACAAAATCGACAGTGGCCTTTCACCTGCTTTCTCTGGATCTTGTGCTCTTGGGGAAGGCACCACCACGTCAAAAGAACCTGGAAACAATCCACAGAGAGGCAACCAGAAAGAAGATGAAGCGCCTTTCCAAGTTTCCTTCCAAGGACCAGGATCCATTTTGGAACTGAATCTTCCAACTCTAGCAGAGTTATGGGTAGCTACATACCTGGCAGCCATCTTGAGTTGTGGTCTCCTGAGAGATCTTAAGCCAGAGCCCAAAATGAGCAGCTCTTAAAACTTGGTAGATAACAGAGTGCTTCACTGAGTTTGTATGTTTTAAGGAAAAAATTTTTTTCAAACTCAGGTATGTAAAAGGCACTTTTAGAAAATAGAAAAATAGATTCGAAGGAGCCAAGGCATATATAATGAGCATTGTTTTGTTTCTGTTTGTTTTTGAGACAGATTCGTATGAAACCCAAGCTGGCCTTGAACTCTGAATCCTTCTGTCTCCATCTTCCAAGTGCAGGGATTACATGTGCCGGGTTTGAAGAGAATCATTATTGCACTTTGATGTGTTTTGAGATGTAGAAATGGGCAGAAGATGCTGACCCGTCCTTGAACAGGTCTCAATGTTGCTTTAGAATCAAAACATCCCTTGTATTTGTTGGAGCTTCTTTCCTCCCCTAAAAAAAACCAAATGAACAAAATCCCCAATCTTTATTGAACTAGATTACTGTGGCAAACTTAAAATAGCCACTCTGTGGGAAACCAGTCACCAGGTGAGATGTCATTCTTTGGTGCCCGTGCTGTGAGGAAGGAGGGTGAAAATAAAGATGCCTGTTCCAGCCATTCCAGCTGAGAGGCCACGCATGAGCAAAGAAGGCATCATGGGCATGTGGTCCAGTCAGGATCAGCTCCGTGAGAAATCCCGAGTCCCCAGCTGAGCCCGGCCAGTCAGCAGCACTGGGAGAGATAATGAGATGGTTGTTTGAAGCCACTGAATTTCAGAGTTTGCTCTGCAGCAAAATAAATCCCATGAATGAAAGAGGGAATTGATCAAAGGAACAGCAGAAACCCTTCTGAGGGCTACTGGGCTTCTGTGTGTGACAGAGCCGTTTGTCTGGCTGTGTGACTTTATGCAGCTTTGTTTCCCAAGGCCAGGAGCAGAGTAAGAGGACAGTGGAGTTTCTGCATGGTTTGTATTTTACCACAGGGCATGAGGAGACGGCAAGCACCCAAGGAGTGATGAATAGGCATTTAATAAAGTTGGGTTTATTTGTTTGCCTTTTAACCAATTTACTTGTAGTATAGGAGTTGAACTCAGCAATCCTGCCCCCCCCACACACACCCTTCTTCTCATAAGAATAATGCAAGCGGGCTGGAGAGATGACTCAGTGGTTAAAAGTACTGGTTGCTCTTCCAGAGGACCGGGGTTGAATTTCCAGCACTCACATGACAGCTCACGACTGTCTGACTCCAGTTCCAGGAGACCTGACACCCTCATACAGACTTACATGCAATGTAGGCAAAAATACCAACACACATAAAAATAAATCTTAAAAAGAAAAAAGAGCTGGGTGTTGGTGTCGCACGCCTTTAATCCCAGCACTCGGGAGGCAGAGGTAGGCAAATCTCTGTGAGTTCAAGGCCAGCCTGGTCTACAGATCGAATGCCAGGATAGGCTCCAAAGCCACACATAGAAACCCTGTCTTGAAAAACCTAAAAAAAAAAAAAAAAAAAGAAAAGAAAGAATAAGGCAAGCATTTCACCACCATTAAGCTGTATTAGACAGGATTTGATATTAAAGTAAAACAAGAGTCCAGAATGGAGGTGTGGTTCCTACAGACTTGTCTAGAACAATGCTATCCAACTAAATTCACTTGTCAACCACAATTGAGACAGCAGGGACAGGACTAGCAACAGCTAATGACTGGTCTCAGGCATTTCCTCCTCTTAACTCCCAGCCACCTTGCTTTATTCAGAGTTGTGCGTCTTTCAATGTACTCACTCCTGCACTCCAGTGATCCCCAGTCTTGAGATGGCGGCATCTAATGGCACAGGGGCTATTGTGTTCTTTTGGACATCTTGTAGCTCTTTGCTCAGTGCTCAGAGAAGCTTTTTATCAAGAATGTGTAGATGGTTGATATTTAA